GGTGGTCCAGGCAGCAGGAGGTGGGGCACAGCAGGCTGGGGTGTCCTCCCCTGACCACCCACGGGGCTGCTGCACCCTGCCCCGCTACCCCCCAAGCATCTGCAGAGTTGGGGACACAGGAATGGGGACAGCCCTGGGGAGGGGACCCTTCCGTGCCACAGCTGGATGGCCTCAGGTGGGGCACAGGACAGAGCACTAATGTAGGGGCGGGTGGGACAGCGGCCGGGCGGAGGGGAACTTCACCTCTGCCAGGCGGCCAGGGGACATCTCCCAAACACTCACCCCCAGGGAGCTGCTGCAGCGCCTGCTGGAGTGGGGGGAGCCACTCCGTTCCCGGGACACCTGCTTCCGCACTTCGGCTGCCACTGTCCTGCGGGGACAGGAAGGGGGCCCTGGGAACAGGAAAGCTTGGCCAGCGGGGCCCTGAGAACTCTGGCTGTGGGGCCAATAAATCCATTCTATGCAAGGGAAATCCAGGCTGTGTCAGGAAAAACACAGGCCGTGGGCCAAGGGAACCTGGGCTCTGAGACGCACAGCTCTGGGTCTGTGGGGCCCGGGGCTTTGGCCGGCACGGAGCCCCCAGCACCCCCCAAGCCAGGCCTGGGACCCTTCCAACCCTGCTCCAGGCAGATGGGGGAGCTGCCACTAAGCAGGGCCTGAGGATCATAGACAAATCCCCTCTCTTTAACCCTGACCCCACATGGGGGCCTCCAGCTTGAGACCCCAACCTCACTCCTTCTCTGTCCCTGTATCCTATTTATTTCTCTGTCGACTATCCCGGACTCTTGCTCCTGTTGGTTGAGCTGGGGGTAAGGTTTGAGGGCAGAGCTTCTAGGAAATTCAAAGGGTGTTCAAAATGAGGGATTTGTCTCAAACTCCTAAAGTGGGGGCCACCTTCTCTGGAAGCCTGGGCACATAGGGACCTGCGGTGATTTATGAAAGATCCTGGGACCAGCGACTGTCTGTGCTCTGGTTCCAGCTGTTTTGCGTCTGCTGCCTCACAGCAGGGAGAGGGAAGGAGGGAGGGGTGGACCTCCCACTTCATTGTGCCTTTGGCCTTGGAGAGAGCTTCTGGGGGTGGGAAGTGGGAAGAGGCTGGGTCCCCAACACTGTGGCCACAAGAGCCAGTTTCATGAGTCACAGGGCTCTGCACTTGGAGCTGGTCAAGCATGGGTGAGTGACGTCCCTTCTCTAGACCTCTGGGCTCAATGGCAGTACCCATGCCTTCCTGACTTGTTCTGAGTGCAGGGTCTGGCCCACAGTGGATACTCAGTTAAGGCTCACTGTCCTTGAGAACCATGTTGTCCTCAAAGGATCCTGGGAAACTGGAATTTCTGGCCCGGTTTTTTTATACCAAAGGGGAGTGAGGCTCAGAGAAGGGTTTGTAACCCACCCAGTGTCACACAACTGTGCACAGTGGGGCCTAGAATTAAACCGTAGTCTGCCAGAGTCAAAGTCTGTGCCCTCCATTACAGGGAGCAGGGCCAAGAACATGGGCTCCAGAACCTGCCTCTACCCTGCCCCACAGAGGTCCCATCCAGTGTCAGGACATCAGCACCCTCTAAATAGTGCCGAGTCCTTGGGTCCATCCCGGGTGGCATCTGCCTCCTTTGCATGCCCACATGGGGGTCGCTTGCAGCTGTCTTGCAGGCTGCATGACCAAAGCTGCCCTCCCACCATCTTCCCTGTCTCACCAAACGCAGCCCAGTGCTGTTGGGTGCTCAAGACTCACACTTCGGAGTCATCCCCAGGTCCTCTCTCCTTCTAACACCCACATCAGATCTGTTTCAAACACGTCCATGGAGCCCATTGCAAAGAGGCAAAACGTTGTGCTGAATTTAGTGGTTTTTCGCCAGAAGTGGCCTCAGAATTGCAAAGATCAGGTGGTAGGTTATAGCTATGGGTGAGGTTATCCTCCTAAGGGGAAAATCAACGACCCTACATGATGCTAAAGGGATGCTCGGATGGGAAAGATGAAATGGTGGCAAAACCAGTAATTCATGTGAGACTGTACTTCACCCATGTCTGGCCACGTTAACAAAGGTCTACCCTCACAAGGGAGGAGGACGGTAAAACCAAAAACAAGAATGACATAAGCCTTGGATTATGTTCCCACTTTTGTAAAAGTGAGGGAAGGAAATAAATCCATACATAAGCCTACCCCTCCCGGACTGGCAGAAAATGTTAAAGACAAATAATCTGCATGCAGCAAGGATGCAGAGCAATGCGGACTTTCATCTCCTGCTGGGAGAACTCCTCTGGAAAGCCACCTGCCATTATCTAGCAAAGTTGAAGAGACGCCAATCTAGCAATTCCATTCCAAGGTGTGGATACTCAGGAAGAAACACATGGCAGAGAAATATCTGTGGCAACCCTGATGTCAACAGCCCCAAAGTGAAACAATGTGTTCCTTGACAAAAAATAGAGAATAATATGTTCAATCAAGGGAATAGCATGCAGCCATGAAAAAGGATGGACCTTATTATAGGCAACAGCACAGGTGAGCCCTCCTCCTGCCATTCCGCTGGGCATTCCACAGGATTCTGCCTACGAGCATGCAAACCCAACCTATGGGAGATAGGGAGCTAACCTGGGTGCAGAAACCCTAACACAAGCCAGCAAGGGACAGCAGCCACCACCCGCATGGCAGTTTCCTAAGGGGCAGGGCTGGGTGCAGATCAGGAGGGTCTGCTCGAATGGGGAGGCCCAGGAAGGTGGAGATGGTGCCCTGTCTTGACCCAAGTGACTTGTTCCTTGACAGACATTTGTTTTATAATTACTCTTTAAACTGCACTTTTCTGAATGTGTGTCATATGTCACCATTTTTTAAAAGGTACAAAAGGATATATGACGTGCTCACTTTTGCAGATGTATCTGGGGGCAGGGGTCAGAGAGGGGAGACATTTCCTTAAAATCCCAGAGGTACTTTTGGAATTTTGTCAGTGTGCCTGTCATTGCTCTCCTGCCACTCTAAGAAATCGTTAGTTCTTTAAATGAGATACACAAACTGCCACAGAGACAACTGTGGAGCAGAAGGAAGTTGCTGCTGTCAGACGCCAGGGAAGAACCCCCATGTTTGGGAATATGTGGTTGGGGAGAGGCATGATTTCTGAGATTGTTCTGGGCTCTAGGGCTCCTGAACCCACTTTCCCACAGGAGACCCCTCAAGAGTAACCTGACCACCTCGAGTCTCGGTTTCAAAGGTTATACTATGTCAATGGACTCTGGTGACAATTAAATTTAAGTGACATCCCAGATGGGGACCGGCATGCAATAAGCACATTGTAAGCACCAGTCGTCATCACCATTCTATATTGCATTTTATTTTAAATAGTACCAATGAAAAAACGAATCATATTGCATACAAAAACGTTTGTCCATGCTATTGACATTTTTAAGAGTTTGTATTGGTAATCTGCCCCCTGAAATCTTTTTTTTATAAGAGAATCTGTTCATTAGGAAATTGGGGGACTATGTAATATTTGGGTTAATATAGCATTTGTGGAATGAATGACTGAATGAATGTATAGATAATATAGGCCCAAGTCTGAGCATGTAGACACCTGGGTGTCTGCTAGGCTACTCTGGTCAGGGGGTGGCTGGAAGACTTGAGCCATTTGCTTGTGGTTCACTGGGGCCTCAGGATCATTCTCTGTTCTTACTCTGAGCTTTGTAGTATTCATTTCCCAGGGAGGGACCTGGGATGCCTTCCCTGCCCTTCCCTGCGTTTAGATTGCTCCTCCCCACATGGGGGAATGGACCTCTTCCTTACCTCCTTCTGAAACACTCACCTCATCCAGGCCTTCCTGACCAACCTCCGCCCTCTAAAACAGCCTCCACCCTCCCCATCCCAACTCCCTTCTCTGCCTGGTACGTCCCCATATACCATTTATCACTAACATATAATCGACTTTCTCCTGCTCCTCCTCTGTCCCCCCAGCTAGGTCTGCCCCCGAGGGTGGGATCTTTTCCTGCGTCTCCATCAGGTCAGCGCTAGACCTACAGGGCGGCTCTTTCACCTGGGGGTGGCCGGAGCAGGTTCCCTGTGGAGAGGACCCTAGAGCAGATTCTGACCCCGCTGTGGAAGCGAAAATTCCCGTGCGGAAGAGAATCTTCAGTCCCAGAGTCTTACCTCCCCCTCCCAGTACGAGTCTCTTACAATCTCCAGTGGCCACAGAAAAGGATCCCCCAGCGCCTGGCGCCTGTCCCCTCCCCCGCCCGCCCACCAGCTGGTCCTGTCCCCAGCCCCCACTCCCTCCATTCAATCACCCGTCCATCTCCGGCGCGTCCAGCCGGTGCTGGGAGAGCCTGAGCAGGGCTGAGGGCGGGGGGACATCCACAGCTGTCCCGGCGCCCCAGACAGCTGGGCAAGGGACCCCAGGGGGCGAAGGGGGGAAGGGCGCAGGAAACTTCCCGAGGAGCTTCCAAGGCCGCTGGGAGCGCCATCCCTGGTCCCAAATACTAGAGGCTGGGGCATCCCTGCCCCACACCAGGTACCGAGGACGGGACTTAAAGGTCGCCCTACGCCCACACCCTCGGAGATGCGGAGGGGGCACGCAGGGAACCTGCGCCTGCTTTCCCGGCGCCGCCGCCTCCAGGAAGGCCCCCCGGACACGCCCCCAGGGTCCCACCGGCTCGGACGGACAACCTCAACCGCCAACGCGCTCGCAGCGGCGACGCGTTTCCAAGCCCGGGGCCCGGCCGACCACCCTCCCGCCTCCCCGGGCCCCGGCCCCGACCGGAGGAAGCGCGCTGGTCCCGTCCCGGGAGGACGGGGGCTACCCTGGCGGCGCCGGGGCGGGGACGGAGGGCCGCCCCGGGGCGGGGCCCGGCCACGTGGGGGCCGCCGGGAGTGGGCCGGGGCCGCGCTACCTGTTGATCTTGTGCGCGAAGGCTCGGCGCTCGGCAGCCGCCATGGTCCCCGCGCGTCCCGCCGCCGCCGCGCACAGTACCCGCCGCCGCCGCCCGGTTCTGGGCGCCCGGCGGGGCGGGGCCGCGGCCGGAGGCGGGGCCCTTCCGGGTGTCCAGGGCCGCTCCGTGCTGCCCCTGCCGGCCGGAGGGGCGCGGGGTCCCCAAGCCGCCTCCGCTCCCCTTGGGGCTGCGGAGGGGAAACTGAGGCTCTGAGCCGGGCAGGCGAGGAGAGGCGCAGGACTCCGGGATGGGGCCCTTTCTGCCTTCTGATTAATCATCGCAGCAATCACCGTGGAAGTATCTCCAGGGTTTGTGGAGCATGGCCCTGGAGTTTACAGGCGCAGAAGCAACTATGGTCCAGCCATTGTACAGATGAGTAAATTGAGGTGCGGAGGGGATCGGGGAGGGACGCTTGCCAGCGCCTGAGTGATCACAGGTCCCTGAGGCCTCCCTCCCTGCCATGTCTCCAGTGAGGGAGGCAGTGGGGTCCAGCTGGGCTCCGACGCCTGGAAATGTGACCCAGGACCTGGTGGTGGGACAGGAGTGAGCCAGCTGGGTAGGCTGGGCTGGACGAGCTCCCTCCTCTGGAAGGATAAGGTGGGGATGTGTTGGTTAATTCGTGGTCTCAATTTCTGCCCAGTGGTCTCTCTCCCTGCCCCACAGCAGCAGAGAATTTTCTGGGTCCCCCTCTATGTCTGGATGGCAAGTCCCTGGATGGCCTTTCCAGCCCCGGTCAGAAAATGTTCTAGAGAGATTTGGGGGCTGATTAATACTAGGGTACTCTACCTCAGGGCCTTTGCATGTGCTGCTTCCTTTCCCATGTATGGGTGCTGTCATTATGCCCCCTTTTACAGATGAGGACGCTGAGGCCCAGAGAAGCAAAGCGGCTTGCCCAGGTGCCCCGTGCATCAGTGTCAGATCCTGAGCCCACAGGAGGGAGGCCTGGATAGTGAGGGAGCCCGCGGACCCTGCCGCTGAGCTCCAGGCTAGCGAGGGCACAGCAGGATTGCTCCCAGCCTGCCATGTGACCTGCTCACGTGAGTCAGCAGCCCACACACCTACCAGAGTGATCCAGTCACATCAGCCTCAGAGAGGTGAGGTGTAACCCCACCCATCACTCCCTGCTGCGCCCCACCCCAGGTCACCCTCTGCAGTCGGCAGCTTCCTGGGCTAAAGTCCCTGCCTCACCCTTTGTTTTGGCTGCTGGGAGCCGGGCTGAGCAGAAAACTTGGAGACAGCAAAGTTTGGTGCGTTTGTCCCAGACCAGGTCTCCTGGCTCCTGCCTTCCCCCCTCCCTGTGTTCACCCCTCAGTGGCCAAAAGCTCCTTGGAACTCCCTAGTCAGGTCAGGACCCTCTTCTGCCTAGAATCCTCCATGGTTCCCACCTCATTCAGGGGAAAAGCCAAGGTTCTGGCTGCATCCCACAAGGCCCAGTGTGATCACAAGACCCTTGTCACCCCTCTGTCCTCCCCTCCTTCCATCTTCTCCCTCAGCCACACCACTCCTATTGCCAGCCTCCTCAATGTTCTTCCAAATACTAGGACCCAGCTGCACCTCAGGGCCTTTGCACATGCTTCCCATATGGAACCTGCAGGAAAGTTCCCTGCCTTTCTACATGTGGGTGCATCCTCATCCCCATTTTATAAATGGGGAAACTGAGGCCCAGAGAGGCATAATGACTTGTCTCCTTTCCCCCAGTGAATCAGTCATTGTCTGGTCCATGATTCTAGATCTGTGACGCAGGGACCCTAATGCTGAAGTGATTGTCTGTAAATACCAGCTGGGGCCCAATCCAGACCAGGCTGTGTGACCCAGGGCAAATCTCTCAACCTCTCTGAGTGTCCATTTCCTCTTCTGCTCCATGAAGGCTCCTGGTTAGTCACAGCATGAGGCATGGACATCAGGGACACCAAGCCCCAGGGCCTTGTGGGAACTGATTCCACACAGGAGCCAGTGGGGGCTATGAGCCCAGGGACTCCACGTCCTCTCTGGGTGGAAATACTGCTTCAAAGATCCCTCCAGATGAAGGCCCTGCCCCAGCCACCTGGAGCCTGGTGCCTGCTAAACCTGATTGGCGAGGCATTTCCTCTGCAGGGTATGGCCACGCCTGACTCAGCTGGGCAGGGCTGGGGTAACCCCAGCAGCTGGTCAAACAGAGGCCAAGCTTGGCAGGGACTTTTGTCTCCAATGGCTGCTATGGGGAACAGACTGTATAGGGGGTGAGGGCAGGGCTTGCAGGTCTGAGAGAAGGCACTTCACTGACCCAGGTGGGAAATGACAGGCTGGGCAGGAGTGGGTTGGAGGAGGTGGCCAGATGTGGGGGAGTCCTGGGCAGATTGACCTGGTGGCCAGTTGAATGTCTGTGCCAGAGAAAAAGTTGAAGACCATCTCTCTCCATGCTGGTGTGCAATGCTGTTCCCTCCACCTGGAATGCTGTTCCACCCACTCCTTGACTGTTTGACCCCTTCTTCCTCCCTTAAATCTCAGTGTGAACGTCCCTGCCTCTAATAGTGGCCAGTGCATCCCCCACGACAGTCCGGACCTCATGTCCCAGGAGCTGGGTTGTCCATCTGCAAGCACCTGGCACGTAGGTGGCGCTCCAGAAATCTCTATTCTGGCCTCTCTCTTGTATTTTCCTGATCTTCTGTTTGGTGCTGGTTCCAGGACCTCACTGTTTGTATCAGTGTAACATTATAATGTGCTTTTTTTGTATTTTTCTGTTGGTTGGGGAGGGGGGATTCAGCTGCCTCCAGATCTTTCTACAGGTGGGACCTTCTGCCTGGAACACCTCTTCCCTTCTGTTTACCTGAGTGAACTTCAGTTCAGTCTTTAGGTCTCAAGGCTCTTGGAAGGCCCCCTTGACTACCTTCCTCCCCCAGCCCCCAGGCTGTTTAAGGGGCTCCTCTGGGTCTGCTTGTCCCCAGTCTCTGGGTTTCCCTGGTCACCTCAGTTGTAACTGCCTGGTCCATGGTGTCCGTCAACATCTCCTCTGCAAGTCACCTCCCTGATGACAAGGATTTTTCTCTGCTTTATTCACTGCCGTGTCCCCAGTGCCTAGCACAGGACTGTGTATACTGTAGGTGCTCAATAAGAGAATGAATGAAGCAGAGTGGTCCAGGGGTCCAGGGTTCGGAGCCCCGGTGCCTACTGTTTGTTGCCTTCATCAGTGCGGTGGGAGAAACCAGCCTGATGGCAGAGGGATCAATCACTTGGCTTCCCAAACTGACGGGTGCTGGGGGCACAGACTAGGAGGTTGAATGTGGGTGCCCACTGCCCCCTGGTGCCCACTGTGCAAATGGCTGGATTAGCCAGCCCAATGCACTTGCCCTGCCCCCGCACTCCCACCCACAGGCAGGGAAGGAGTCCTCTGGCCTCGAGGAGAGGGGATGCGTGCAAGGGACATCCATTCAGCAAGCGACTCCCGTGCACCTGCTGTGGGCAGGCTCTGACCAGCCCCAGGGGGTGGTATCATCATCACCCCAGGTCATCAGCCTGCAGGTATGGGAAACCGCGGCTAAGAGGAGCAGGCATCCACCTGAAGTTACACAGCATTTGAGTTGTAGGACTCGAACCCAGGTCTTTTGTGTTCAGGGAAGCCTCTGTCCTGGTTCTTCAGATGCATTTTAGTGAATCACTAAATGAATGAACGAACGAATGAATGAATTGGTAGCTTGAGATTAGTGGTGAGCTCAGAGTAGAATGATCGTGGGCAGGACTTGGAGTCCAAAGAGATCCAGGTCTCCCAGTTCCAGCTCAGCCATAGCCAGCCTGGGTGATCTGGAGCCTCTCTGGGCCCCAGTTTCCTCATCTGTGAAATGGAGCTGTTACCCCGGAGCTGACCGTCGGGGCCATGATGGGGCCAGCGGAGTGTTGTCAGAAGAGCACAGCACCCCAGAGATGCTTCCTTTTCAGATTGCTTTTCCTGCTTCCCGAGCCGGGAAGGAAGGCACAAGCCAGCTTGGGGTGTCCAGGCCTGCCTTTGGGAGTTTAAGTCACAAAGACAAACGGTGGGCCTGGAGAGGTGGAGGGGCAGGCCGCAGGCTTCCTGTTATTCTTTGAACAGATAGCCCAGCCTCCAGATGCTTGTCTGTCCAGACGCTTGCCCATTGCCCCTGGAAATCACTCCTTACCCCTCTTGGAGACACGTCTGTCATGTTTGCACATTTCCTGCTGCTCCCACCACATCTCAGTCTCTGGGGGGTGGGTTTCACTGGGGTTTCCAGACACCCAGAATTAAAATTCAGGGGGCCCGTGAACTTGGAGGGGCAAAACTTCAGATGCATTTGGCAACTTAGTGAATTGCTTCACAAATAAATGAATGAATGGGTGTCTTGGTGACACCCTCACCCCTGCTTCCAATGATAATAATCATTAAAGCCACCACCCTGCCTTGCTATTTAACATGTTAAGATGCGTGAATTTCACCACAATGAAAACACATTTGGATAACTGTGTCCCAATGTAGTGGGTTGTAGTGGGTTCCTTGACCATCTGAAGTGTCTTATTTTACACGCTTACAAACTTCCACTGATAAGGGCCCAATGCACAAAAGATGCCCCTGCAAATAAGAGGAATGTTCTAACATGCCTTTCTGCCCTCAAAGCCTGCTGTGGCTCCCCCGTGTCCCAGGAGAAAATCACCCTCCTTCCTGGGGCCTACGGACCCCCTCATCTGCCCCATAAGCCTGTCTCCCTCTCCTTTCCACCTCATTCATTCATTCATTCTAGCAGCACTTATTGAGCACCTGCTGTATGCCAGGCCTGAAGGACTTATGGAAGGAGGTGATGTCAGTCCTGAGATCTGAAGTTCAAGTGGTCAGGCAGAGTCAGAAAGGAAGGGAGTCCCAGACACAGGGATCAACAAAGCAAAGATGGAGAGAAGTAGAAGTCACCCTTGTGGAGGGCAGGGAGAAGAGCGTGGTGGGTCTTCAAGGCCAGGTCCAGCAGGGCCTCCAGGCGGGAGTCTGGGCATAGCCCTGCGAGTGGTGGGGGTCCAGGGCAGGAACGCCCTCTGGTTTATTTCAGGAAGATACAATTCTCATGTCTGCTGCTGGCAGAAGTGTCTTCAGGTCACGTGGCGGGCAAATCAGCCAAGTGTTTCACAGTTATAAACCTGTGAACCGCTGGGCTCAGAAAGTCCACTTTGAAAAATCTAGTTTTCACACAGAAAATGATGAGAACTGACTAAACAGCGAAGATTAGAAATGACTGTCCATACAGGGCTGGCGCCACAGGCTCTACCCAGAGGAATACTATGCAGCTGTGAAAAAGAATGAGCATTGGATTTCAGTAGAAAGCACGAGAACGACATCTATGCAGCACATGAAATGGATGGGAATGAGAAAAGCATGTTGAGGAGCAGGATGTTTAAACCACCACCTTTTGTGTAAAATGTTAGGGGAAAATGCATATACTCATGTATACTTAATGTTCTAGATATTCTCTTCAAAAAACTCTTAAGAAACTGGTGAGGGTGGGGTACAAGGCAGGAGACACACTTTTCTTTTAATTAATAGTCTTTATATTTTTTAAAGGGGTTTCAGTGTACAGACAATTGAGCAGGTAATACAGGGAGTTCCATGTACTCCTTGTCTCCCCTACCCACCAAGTTTCCCCTATTACTAATATCCTGCTTTAGGTGGCATGTCTGTTACAACTGATGAGCCAACACTGATATGTTATAATTAACTGAAGTTCCTAGTCCGCATTAGGCGTTGCTCCGTGGGCCATACATTCTTTGAGTTTGGACAAATTCACCTACAAAACAACTGCCCTAAATATCCCCTGTGCTCTGCCCAGACATCCCTCCCTCCCCTCCAGTCCCTGGCAACAATCGATATTTTTCCTGTCTCCACAGTTTTGCCTTTTCCAGAATGTCATGTGATTGGGATCCTACAGTTTGCAGACTTTTCCAGACTGGCTGCTTTCACATAGTAAAACGCATTTAAGGTTCCTCCATGCCTTTTCATGGCTTGAGACCTCGTTTCTTTTTCCTCCTGAATAATATTCCAGGGCGGATATTTTGCGTCATGTCAATGCAGTATGATGCAATTTCTCCAAGTGCAATATGGGCTTCTATTCTAGATCCCTTTTGGTGATTGGGGAAACTGAGGCTGAGCAAGTAGCCCCAAGTTCCCAGGGCTTTCCGCCTGGCTGGCTCCCCTTGGACTCATCCCTACAATGACTTTCTCTGCCTGAATTTCCTGTAGCCCCTCTTCCACCATTGATGCACACGTGTGAGTTTGGCTATGAGGAGCTAGGGAGAGCTTTGCAACTTTCTCACTGACCAGCCAGAGCTCCAGGGAATGCCTCGCCTCTGTTTGATGGGACTTCCAAGGTGCATTCATCATATGAGATAACCAGGATGCAGCAGAACTCCTTAGAACAATGCTTTGGAGCAGGCAGCAATGACTGACAAAACTCCTCTAGATGGACCAAGTCCCCTCAGCCCAGTTTCTTCCTTCATCTTTAGAAAATGGCTCTGCCAGGACTAGCAGCCAACTACACAGTGATTAGACGCTCAAACACTTGTGTTCGAATCCTGCACCTTGGCTCATGAAGCCAGCCTTGAAAGACTTTTATTTTACACCTATTGGAGCAGCTAAACTGAAAATACTTACAATACCAAGTGCCGACGAGGATGCAGAGAAATGGACTTCTCAGGCATTGCTGGTGGGAATGCCAAATGGTGCACCCATCCTGGAAAAGTTTGGTGGTTCTTAAAATACTAAATATGCAGCCACCCAGCAATCCCACGGCTGTGTATTTAGAAATGAAAATACGTTCATATAAAAACCTGTACATGATTATTTATAGCAGCTTTCTTCATAATCACCAATAGCTGGAAACAGCCCAATTGCCCTTCAGTGGGTGACTGTACGGTGGAATATTCTTCAGTAACAAAAGGAGAAAACTACTGATATAGGCAAGAAACCTGTACGACTGCATTTATGTAACATTCCCAGGAAGAAGACAGAATTCCCTGTGGCAGAGCCGATCAGTGTTTCCCTGGGCCTGGGAGCAGGGCCATGGAGTTTTGGGGTGTTTTTTTATCTTTGTCATGTACTGCCAGGACAGCAGATGGTGACCTGGTAATCCTTGCCAGCAGAGGGGGCTCGCGGGAGCCCTAAGGCAATGTCTGAGCTGGCTGGAGGGCTTCTCAGAGGAGGGGGCAACTAAGCGGAAACCTACAGGCTGTGCTGGAGTCAGGCAGGTGAAGGACCTTCCAGGCAGTGGGAACAGCATAAGGAGAGGCCTAGAGGAGAGACATGCAGGAAACTGGGTGGCATTTATTTAGAGTACAGAGGTGGGGTTATTATTATTTTTTGATTATTATTATTATTATTATTATTATTATTATTCATCCATTTTTGAGGTGAAAACTGCAGAGAGAGGAGACTGAAGAAGTTGGTAGGCTCTTACCAGACTTTATTTCAAGGGCACTAGGGAGCCCTGGGAAGATTTGGGGCAGGAGAGGGAGGCAGTCAGATTTTCTGAACCTTGTCTTGGAAGGATTATTCTGGATCTAAAGTGGAGGCTGACCTGGAGTGGGGAAGACTGGAGTAGCAAGGAGATGGTGTGGTGGTGGCCTGAAGGAACAAAGCTACCGTGGAGGGGCTGGTGGTGGACAGAAGTGGGAAAGACTGAGAGGCAGGAGGGCCCGGATGCCTTCCGGTTGCCTGGCTTCTGGAAGATAACATTTGCAAGAGCCAAACCAACAAAGGCTTGAGAACTTCTGCAAATCAACCCAAACAGGACAGCCCCCCACCTCTATAGAAAAGGGGCCAAGAATGGGAACAGGTAATTCACAAAGGAGGAATCTACCCCAACTTACCATGTTGTAGATATGAAACATGTTCAGCCTTTTGTATGTCAATCATACTTCAATAAAGTGGTTGTTTGTTTTGTTTAAAAAAAGGGAAGCCCAGAAGGTGCAGGAGCTTGCAAAGAGATGCCCACACTGGCCCGTGATCCAGAAACATGCAGATTGAAACAACACATCACTTCATGGCTATCAGGTTGGCCAAAATTAGAGCCCAGTCTTGCCCTGCACACATGCTGGGTGAAAGCAAATGAGTTTGTGACCACGTCATTGAAAGCTTCCCTAAGCCAACCAGGAAGAACCTGTGACTGGCCCTGTGTCAGACGGAGGAGGAACCGTGGCCTCTGCAGCCGGCAGCCCAGTGCCTGGCGGATCCACCTTTGGAATACAGTCAGAACCTGAACTCTTCTCTCCTTCCCCTCAGCCCCGACTTGGGCCAGCCTCTTTCATTGCTCATTTAGACCAGTGCGGTCCCGTCTGTCCTGGTCCCCGGCTCCTGACCTCACCACTCACGCTCTGTCCCTTTTGCAGCAGCCAGAGGGCACCTGTGAGCACGTGAGGCAGGACCCAACTCTCATCTGCTCAGAACCCTCCATGGCTCCCACCTTACCTGGGGTAAAAAGCCAAAGTTGTCCCGCAAGGCCCTGCACAACCTGCCTCACCAACTCCCTGCCCTCCCCTCCTCCCACTCTCCCCCTCGCTCACTCGGTTCCAGCCACACCCACCTCCTTGTTCCACACACACACAGGGGAGGCCCTTTGCACTTGCTGTTCCCGCGGCCTGGGATGCTTTTCCCTCTGGTATTCCAGGGCTCCCCCCTCACCTCCTCTTCCAGGGGCCTATTTAAAGGCCATGTGCCCAGAGATACCCCCTGACCACCCAGCAGAAAACGGTGCCCCTCTACCCTTGTTTTATTATTTTTTATGGCACATCTCTCCACTTGGCCTTCTAATTATATTAAACATCTACTGTGTCCCCCCCACCTTATCTCCTACACCTTGCCACCTCCGTGAGGATGTCAGCTCCCATGGGGAGACACGCTTACTTCCATGTGCCCGCTCCTGGAACAGAGCCTGCCACATAGAAGGAGCTCAGCAAATCAACCTAAGGCTCAAAGAGGTGAGGTCACCTTCTGAAGGCCACAGAACAGGTAAGTGGCAAAGCTGGGATCTGAACGCAGTCCAGGCCTGTGCTCATAACCATCCGCTTGTGCCCCGCCTTTGCGACAGGGGGCAGAATTGGCCTGGGATCCTGTCCTGGCAGCTCCAGGCCAGCTTCAGCCCTGTGCTATGAACCTAGCCTGACTTCATACACCCACCGATACATCATTTCATTTTGCAGACGAGGAAACCAAGACTCAGGGAAGTGGTCATTTGTCCCCTGATGTGACCTTGGGGACAACAGTGGCATAGGATGAAGTGCTCAGATTCTGGGGTCAGACAGGCCTGGGTCTGATGAGTGCAAAAGGGACAGGGAAAGCAAGGCAGGCTGCCTGTGGAGGTGACACTGAAGGCTAGGGGACGAATAGGAGTGTGGCAGATGTGGTCCCTGCCACTGAAGGCATCCATCCTCAATGGCATCACTCACATCCAGGTGACTTTGTTGGATGGTGTCTCTGGAGGCTGCATAGCGCAGGGGAGAGGCACCCTGGAATTCATGCCCTGGGGAGTGGCCCCCAGCCAATGGCTGATGGGGGACAGGTGGATAAATACCCCAGTTCCCCTACCCATAGGCGGCATGACCCAGTGTGTCCTACCATGTCCCATGGGGCCCCTAGTGGGGCTGAGCCCCCATTGCCCACGGGGCTAACCTGCCCTAAAACCACATTTACTAGCTGCTTTCTCTTCTCCTGCTTCCTTTTATGGCTGGAATGTGCCCCCTGACGAATTCATGGCTTGATGCCCTGTCCCCCAGAACCTCAGAATGGGGCTGTATTTGGAGATAGGGTCCTTAAAGACGTAGTTAACTTAAAATGAGGTCACATTAAGACAAAGCCTCTCCAGGGTACAGAAGGTGGCATGGGGAGAGCAGAGTCTCAGGGGACTGGGCTTAACAGCAGGAGTGAGGGGGAGAAGGGGCCTCCAGGGAGTCAGGGCCAGACCTCAAAGTGACAGGAGTCACCGCGCTTACCCCAAAACCCACAGGGAAAATCTTGCGATGCGGACGGCACATTCCACAGCAGGAACTGCCTCCGCGGTTTCAGCCATGATGTAGGGTCACTGCCCTTTTCTTCAAGACCACAGAGGAAATGGTTACTAGTTCAGGGCTGGGCTGGCCTGACCTCAGCCTTCCCGTCTGTGCCCTCTGGGTGTCTCCTCCCTCCTTCGTCTTCCAGGTTCACCCCCATAGATGGACAACTGACCTGGGCCGCCCTCCACCTGCAGCTTCTCATCCCCCACTCAGAAGCAAAAACTATTCTTTAAACAACCATAAAAAAGCTGGATTGAGACACAGCTCACATATGGATATAGCTCACGCCCCATTGAAAGCATCCAATTTAATGGTTTTTAGTAGAGTCACAGATATGTGCAAACTTGTTCATAGTCAATTGTAAAACATTATCTTAAAAAAACTTTGTACCCCGAGTGCGTATTCCTCTATGCCCTGCCCTCTGTCCTCTGAGCCCTAAGCCACCGCTAACCTACCATTCCGGACCTTCATAGGACTGGCGTAATGTGTGTCCTCTTTTGCATCAGGCTTCTTTAACTGCATGTGGTGTTGTCAAGGTCCATCCTCATTGTAGCCTGTGTCGGAATGTCATTCTTTATTATGGGTGAATAATATTCCACTGTATGGACAGACCATCGTGTGTTTACTGGTCATCTGTGGAGGGACATTTGGGTTGTTCCCACCTTTTGGCTACTGTGAATAATTCTGCTCTGAATATTCGAGCACAATTATTTCTGTGGACGTATGTTTTCATTTCCCTTGGGCCATATCTAGAAGAGTCTCATGGTGGTTCTGTGTTTAACCTTTTGAGGAATTACTAGACTGTTTTCCAAAGTGGCTGCCCCATTGTACATTCCCGCCACCAGCATAGGAGGGTACGAATCTTTCCACATCTTCCTGTGAAAACATTTCTTGAGTCCATTTTACAGATAAGGATCAGGTATACTGAGGCCAGGCAATGGATCAGGGTCCCGCAGCTGCTGAGGGGCAGAGCCAGGGCTGGCACCCAGATCTATAGCCTCCAGGCACAAAGGTTTTATCCTCTCCTGGAAGCTTAAATAAAGAGTTGATTGGTAAAAAACATAGGCAAAAATCTCTTGAACATAAACATGAGCGACTACTTCATGAACATATCTCCCTGGGCAAGGGAAACAAAAGCAAAAATGAACAAGTGGGACTATATCAAGCTGAAAAGCTTCTGTACAGCAAAGGACACCATCAATAGAACAAAAAGGCATCCTACAGTATGGGAGAACATATTCATAAACGACAGATCCGATAAAGGGCTGACATCCAAAATATATAAAGAGCTCATGCACCTCAACAAACAAAGAGCAAATAATCCAATTAAAAAATGGGCAGAGGAGCTGAACAGTTCTCCAAAGAAGAAATTCAGATGGCCAACAGACACAGGAAAAGATGCTCCACATTGCTAGTCATCAGAGAAATGCAAATTAAAACCACTATGAGGTATCACCTCACACCAGTAAGGATCGCCACCATCCAAAAGATAAACAACAACAAATGTTGGGGAGATTGTGGAGAAAGGGGAACCCTCCTACACTGCTGGTGGGAATGTACATTAGTTCAACCATTGTGGAAAGCAATATGGAGGTTCCTCAAAATGCTCAAAATAGAAATACCATTTGACCCAGGAATTCCACTCCTAGGAATTTACCCTAAGAATGCAGCAGCCCAGTTTGAAAAAGACAGATGCACCACCCCTATGTTTACTGCAGCACTATTTACAATAGCCAAGAAATGGAAGCAACCTAAGTGTCCATCAGTAGATGAATGGATAAAGAAGATGTGGTGCATATACACAAGGGAATATTATTCAGCCATAAGAAGAAAACAAACCCTACTATTTGCATCAACATGGATGGAGCTAGAGGGTATTATGCTTAGTGAAATAAGCCAGGTGGAGAGAGACAAGCACCAAATGATTTCACTCATCTGTGGAGCATAAGAACAAAGCAAAAACTGAAGGAACAAAACAGCTGCAGACTCACAGAACCCAAGAATGGACTGACAGTTACCAAAGGGAAAGGAACTGGAGAGGATGGGTGGGGATGGAGGGAGAAGGGGGAAAAAGGGGCATTATGATTAGCACACATAATGTATGGGGGGGCACAGGGAGGGCTGTACAACACAGAGAAGACAAGCAGTGATTCTATAGCATCTTACTATACTGATGGACAGTGAGTGTAATGAGGTATGTGGTGGGGACTTGATAATGGGGGGAATCTAGTAACCATAATGTTGCTCATGTAATTGTACATTAATGATACCAAAAAAAAAGAGTTGATCGGTCTTTATTGAGATCCTTTTCTGTGTCAGGCACTGAAGACATCCCATGAACAAAGCAGATAGGAATCCTTGCAATTAGTGAGTGGAAGTGAGGCACAGAGAGGAACTGGGTTGCTTAAAATAAGAATAATATGTTACAAAGATTAATATAAGGTAGACATATCTGGAGGAATATGAATATATGGGATTGAAAAGGACTCTCTAAGATTATTCTCAAATTTTCCAGGGGTTGGCTGTTTTAACACTACACATGGGTTACTTTTTTATGCTCTTTTAAGTTCTCGTAAGATATATGATAAAATTTGCCACTTTAACTATTTTTCAATGTACGACTTAGTGGTGTTAATTATATTTACAATGCCATGCAAACATCACCACTATTTCCAAAATTTTTCGTTGCCCTATAAGCAGATATTCTGTACCCACATAACACTAACATCTCACTCCCTTTCCCCCACTCCTGATAACCTTTATTCTACCTTTTGTCTCTACAAGCTTGCTGATTCTAGATATTTCATATAAGTAGATTCATAGCAAGGCTAGTTTTATGATGAAAATGGCCAGACTGCATTTTGTTATTAAATAATGGAAGCTAGACACAGAGGCCAGCTGCTAAGTGTGCCCACATTAAACACAGAAATGGTATCAGGGGATGCCTTGGGGATCGGGGGTTAGAAGGGCCATGGTGACACGGGACAGAGGCCACCGCTGGCGGATTCCCGGAGCCAGGCCCGGGAGGAGGTGATGGCAATGCAGAGGGCAGGCCAGACTTCCAAACGGGGCAGCTGCAGCCTCCGCGTCCCGTTTGCCTCTCTGAGGCCCGACTACTTCCCACCCTGAGGGATAAGGGGGTTGGCCTGGCGTCCACCAGTAATGGACGGGTTGCCTCGTTAGGTAGTGAGATCACCCCTATGTTCTCAGAAGAAAGCCAGGTCCCATATTATAGTCACCTGTTTACACATCTACGTTCCTTAAGTATCTGAGTTCAGGATGGCAGGGCCATATCTGTTTTCTTTGCGACAGCAGTCGGCATACGCGGAGCACTCAACGGATGCTCATCTAGTGAAGAATGGAATGAACTGGTCAATGGGCAGATGCCAATCACCAGAAAGAAGCCCTGATTCTGGACTCAGAAGCCCAGCCCTCAAATCTCAGCAGTGTGCCCGGGACATGAGGCTTCCCCCACCATGCCGCCGATTTCTCGCCCGTACAGTGGACGTACCACCATCGCCACCTCCACGACGGGAGGGAAGGCTCCAGACTATCTGTTAAGTACCTGGCAGGGAGTAAGGGCTCCCAGGAATGTATATACCAACTCCCCCAGATCTTTTAAGAGAGGGCCACTGAAAACAGTCTGAATGAAGCTTGCAAAGAAAATTCCTGCTTTGGGTGGGATTGTTTTTCATGACCTCTGAAGTCCTGGCTGAGTCTCAGGTCAGAGCTGTTTTTTGTTTGCACAAATTATTTCTCACTCACGTGGTCCAAGATGAGGTGCTTGTTTCCAATATCCCCGCCAGACTCAGCAAGGAGCGTCAGAGGAGTCTCCCCCAAGAATGCAGAGGCCCTGGCTGAAGAAGGTCATTCACCCCAGGCAGACCTCCAGGGAGCCCCACTTTCACAGTTACAAAATCCCTCCATTTTCTTAACAACCATTTTTTCTGAGTGCCAAAGGAATACAGACTCATTGTAGGCAATCTGGGAACATCTTCAGAAAAAACTATGTAAGAACAAAAACAGTCACCCCAAAGCTCATCAATGCTGGTGCTTTTATGGATTCCCTTCTTGCCGTTTTTCTTTGCAGACCTTGTAACAGCACCAGGTGTTCAAAAGTTGAGATTGTTTCAAAAGCCCAACTGGAAACTCCTGTGTCCTCTTAACAACAGGTCGGGATCATTTTCCCACACCATCGGACCTCCACGGCTTGCAGTGGATTCCCGAGGATAAGTATATACCCATGAAAAAGGACAGGGCAGGCAAACACCCAAACATCTATGTTGTGGTTAAGACTGAGGCCCTGGGGTCAAATTCTGGCTCCCACCACTTTCTGACTCTGTGACATCAGCTGGGTGTTTGGACCTTCATGCCTCAATTTTTTCATCTGTAGAATGGGGATATATTATTTCACATCATGTCACAACAGCCCTGGGCCCCCTGAGTGAGTAAATGGCAGAGAAGGAAGTTCAGTCTTCTTCAGGAGCGCACCACATTGCCTTCCCAGTAAACTGTACAAATCGCACCCATAGCACTATATAACTTACATAACATTATTCTTATACAAACATGCTTACAATGTTTGTGGGCTGTCTCATGACTCATTATATCAGGAATATGTGTTTCATGGAGTTTTCTGTATTTGTGTTCTATTTCCTCACTAAAAAAATAAAAAAGATTTTAAAAAGCGATGCAATGTCAAACGGTGCAAATGAGTTTGGAACAAAAAACAGATGCCACCACCAGTTTTGCTTCCTGTGGCTTTTTTTTTTAATTAACATAATTTATTTGTTTTTAAGTTTTAGGCTTACTGGAACATTGAATGGAAAGCACAGAGTTCCCAGGTACCTCCTCTCCTCTGCTGCTCACAGTTTGCCCTGTACTAACATCTTGCCCGGGTGCAATAAACTTATCAGAACTGATGAACCGGTTTGATACATTATTAGTAACCGAAGTCTGCAGTGCACATTAGGGGTCAATTGATGTTGTGCAGTCTAAAAGTCTAATGCATAATGTCCTCTATCCACTGTCATGGTATCATAGGCAAGAGATTTTTGCCTATGTTTTATTCCAAGAGCTTTATGGTTTCATGACTTACATTCAGGTCTTTGATCCATTTCGAGTTTATTTTTGTGTATGGAGTTAAACAGTAATCCAGTTTCATTCTCCTACATGTAGCTGTCCAGTTTTGCCAACACCAGCTGTTGAAGAGGCTGTCGTTTCCCCATTGTATGTATGTTCATGGCTCCTTTATCATATATGAATTGACCATAGATGCTTGGGTTTATATCTGGGCTCTCTAGTCTGTTCCATTGGTCTATGGGTCTGTTCTTGTGCCAGTACCAAACTGTTTTGATTACCGTGGCTTTGTAGTAGAGCTTGAAGTTGGGAAGCGAGACCCCTTGCTTTATTCTTCCTTCTTAGGATTGCTTTGGTGTAAGTCCAGGGAGAGGAAATCCCAGGGCAAAATACCTCTCTAAAAACCGAAATCAATCAAAGGGAGAAATAAAGTTTAAAACCCATTTATTGCTTACAAACTGCAGTCCAGGGCCATCTCTGTCTCTGCTCCAGAAGAAGTAAGCAAGCAAGCAAGCCCCTCCCTTTAAACTCTCAGGTTCAGACCTGCCCTGGGTTGCCCAGGTAATTACCCATTGACATGGAGATGAACTTCTCTCCACCCCTGAGGATACACAAATGTACTAAAGCCAGGCAAGATACTCTGGAAAAGTTATAATTTTACCCACATTTGGCTATTCAGAGTCTTTTGTTCAAGTTCGTTGAAGAATTCTGTTGGTATTTTGATAGGGATTACATTGAATCTGTAGCTTGCTTTAGGCAGAATGGCCATTTTGACAATATTAATTCTTCCTACCCAAGAGCATGGGATGAATTTCCATTTATTAGTGTTCTCTTTAATTTCTGTTAAGAGTGTCTTGTTTTCAGGGTATAGGTCTTTCACTTCCTTGGTTAGTTTTATTCCTAGGTATTTTATTCTTGTTGAAGCAATTGTGAATGGAATTGTTTTCCTGATTTCTCTTTCTAGTTCATCATTAGTGTATAGGAGAGCTAGATGTATTCTTATGGGGGACTTTTTAAGCTTTCTGGCTTGACTCCTTGTAAGTCTGGGGAGAGGAAATCCTGGGGCAAAATACCTCTAAAAACCAAAATCAGTCAAA